TAGCCTACACTATTTGCTCAATATGTTTATCATAGTATAATTTAACTAAGAGGAAGCTCTTTAAATGCCTCCTTCTTGACCAACTTATTTAATATCATCTTAAAATTGCAAAAACTATCTATAATATCGTCATGATCATTATCATAAAAAAAAAAGAATTTAAAGATGTCCCTTTTTATCTAGTGAGTATTAAATCTTGTTCATTCATGGTAAGTAATCACAATATGGAATCATCATTAGTCAACCTTCAATACATCATTTAGATGAGGGAGCAAAATAGCTTGATTTGGAAAATTGAAGTCATTTGAAAAGACTAAATAACTTCCAAATGAATTAGGTTTCTTTGTACAAAATGGTACTAACCGTCTCTAAAAATATCATAATTGTCAATAACCAAACTTCTCTTTCGTCTTCATAATTATCAGTGCAATGAAGGATGATAATTACTTGCATCATTTTATAAGCTTCTCAAAATTGATGTATTTGTTAGCCCTCTCTAATATTTTTTATTGATTTAGGTGAATTCTATATATGCAATTATAATTTTGAACATATTATCACAATACTCCTAAAACAAAGAAATCTTGGTGACAAAAGTATTTAAGTCAATAACCTATAATCACTCTTTTGAACCAAGTGATATATGCATGAAGCAACTCAAATTTCATATGATTGAAGCAAAAGAGGGCTTAAAAGTTGTAAAAAAGCTTTTGGTGGCTTAAGAATTATATGGTAAGTTTTCCACAAAATTTATTAATTGAGATAATATTACCCAATCATTGCTTTAAAAAATAATAGAGGGCTATATCATCAAAAGTTCTTTGAAAAATGTAGATTCTTTTAGCATTAGATGTCAATTGAAGAGCCATAATAACCTCAAAACTTTCTAAGTACTACTCTATCGAGCTAGTAAGTCCCTTATTTAAGATATCATTTAAGATCTTGAACTTTATTAAACATAATTCTACAAGAATATCGACTATGAAAAAAAAATTGAATTAGTTGATAATACAACAATTGCATAAAATTTTGTCTCATTTTCTCAAATTGGAGGAACTACTGTACGAGCACTCTAATCCGCTGATCCCATTTTGCTTTAGAAAGAATCGAAGAGTCAACTTATTTCTCTTCAGGAAGAGTGCCACAAATGTTAGACTAGGAGAAGAGGTTGAGCTTGTAAAAGCTTCCTTCCCATAAATGCTAAAGACATAACATTAACTAGGGGTGTCAAAACCGGGATTCGGGTCGAACCCGGAACTGACCCGGGTCGACCCTAATCCGACCCGGATATGTAAATGGATCGAAAACTCGGACATGGACCTGACCTGTTGGGTTGCTGGGTTGACCCGACCCGACACGATTCCACTTATAGACCGAACCCAACCCGATCGAACGTGAGCGGGCAGGCGGGTGCGCAGGCGCTCGAATGCGAGCAGGCAGGCGGGTGCGTGGTCGTGAGTGAGCAGGCGCGTTAGAGCGGGCACACGGCCTTAGCGCGGGCACACGGCCTGGAGCAGGCAGCGGGCGCGATCAGGCAGCGCGGGTGGCAGCTGGCAAGCGCGAGCAGCCTCGTCGGCCGCATGAGCAGGTGTACGAGCAGCTGGGACAGGTGTGGGAAGCCTCGGGCAAGTCATTATAAACGATTTTCCGGGTTGACACGACAACCCGTCGGGTCAACCCGAACCAGACCAATTTTTCAAACAGGTAGAATCCGGGAACTCGAACTCGACCCATTTTTCAAACGGGTCGGGTCCAACTCGAAATTTCCATGTTAGATTCGTGTCGGGTTTTCGTGTCGTGTCAAATATTGACACCCTAGCGTTAACAATGGTTCAAATATCTAAGAATAATTTAACCAAAATATTTTTTGCTCCAGTATTGAAAACAACTCTAAGGCTTCGTTTGGGACAACTTTCTTAATTACTGCTTCTTAACACAGCTTTTTAATTCCAATGTTTTGATTTTTTTATTAAAAAACTACTTTAAGAAGCAGTAAGAAAGCCGTCCCAAACGAAGCCTAAATGACTCACGGATAGTGGACTATGATTCTCTCCTAATAACAAAAAAACAAAAAAAAAAAAAGCTTATCCATCCTTTATATCTAAGTCCTTATTTTATCATCCAAACTAAGACTACATTTGGGACTAATTTTTTATTGCTTCTTAAAACTGCTTTCTAGTTTTTTTAAAAAAATTGTACTAAAAAGATGCTTTAAAAATCAATAAAAAAGCCCTCTCAAACCAAACTTACATGAAGCATCTCACTAAGACAATTCATTGTATGTCTCACTCTACTTTTGATTTCATAATCCAATTATATTACATCAAGATTCTATTAGATAAAATCATGCTGATGTTATATTTATGTTGCTCTATATACAATAAAAATTACTATATATGCTCACCAAGTTGCTGAAAAGACATGCGTCCAAAAATTGCTTGTCCAAGGTATTTTTAAAATAAGGCAATGTTATCTTCTTGGAAAATAAAATAGAAGAAAAGTTAAATCAAATAAAACATAGATTGAGCCAGCTTCGGGTGTCCAAATTGTCCTATTAAATCGCTCCTGATTAATATAGCCAAGCATAAGAAAATTTTCGAGAATTTTGACAGCCTAGAGCTGGATTTTTTTTTGGAAATTAGGGGAACATCCAAACACTCAACACATACTCAATATTCGAATCAAGTGCCTCTTAGCTTAGAGTCAAACTCCCAACCAAAAAACTAAGGAGAGCTACATTGAATTTTTTTTTCTTTTTTTGACAGGAATCTAGAACCTGGCACACACTAATTTAATTAAAAATTTTAATTTGCTCTAGTCTTATAAAATAACAATATAAGGTTGATTATTGAGGGGCAATCAAATCTAGGGCTGTCAAAAACCGGGTCACGGGTCTGGTTTGAGTCCAATTCAGAATTGACCCGGCACTTTCAACTTGACCCTTTAAAAACAAAAAACGAGTCAGATTTATGGACCCAAACCCAACCTGCTTTGGGTTCGGGTCAACCCGACCCTTATATCTGCCGCCCTAAGCTCCCTCCATTCGACATTTGGGCGCTTATTCAGCCAAATCACGTAAATCTGGCACTGCGGTCCCTCCGTTCGTGCGCTAATTCAGACAAATCCTGAAAATCTACTGCTGCTTTCCGGCTTCGTTCATGCACGCAGACTGCTGCCAATTCCCGCGCGCCATTTCGAATGTTTCTTCCATTCGCGTGCTTATTCGAGTAATGCGAGAGGGACCGAGGCGACAACGACAATAGGTGAGTGACGCGACAACAGACATACCAGGTCAAATCGGGCCAAAATTGGGTTTTTTGGTTGACCATAACCTGACCCGAAATTAAAAATGAGTCGAAAATGAAGACCCGACCCCAACCCATTCTTAAAACAGGTTCACCCAAACCTAAAAATTTCAAGTCGGGTCCAAATTAGATTTTCGGGTGATGACAATTTTTGACATCCTTATCAAATCTAAGACAACTATCGTATTAAATGTACTGAATTTTTGTCAAAATATTTTGATGTAAAATAAACGAAGATATTTTACGGGTACTATCAGGTTCTTAAAAAAATAATTTGTTTAAATTTTAATTTTTACACTAAAGCAGATGTGCGAACACAATTTTTTATGTTTATCAAATTTTGTTCGGAATGAGACTAGTAATATCTGGTTATGCTTTAATATTAATATAATATATAACTAATTAATATTTTATAAATCTTAAAATTGATATAAATTTTTTTATTTTTATATAAATTTACTACATATATAAATTATTCCGTTGAATCCCCAATTTCAAATTAAATGAATAAGTAAACAGGCAGACCTGTTTACACCTCGGGCCACAAAGAACGGATCAGTTTTTTTTTTTTTCCTACTATGATCCGCTTAATCTTTCTCCTCTTAATCACACTTTTCATGATCACCGCCGACGCATCAAACGACACCACCACCTTCGTCTTCAACGGCTTCGCCAGCGCAAATCTTCTCTTCGACGGCATGGCCGCCGTGACATCGACTGGCCTCCTCCAGCTCACCGAACCCACCGAACAAGGCATGGGCCACGCCTTCTTCCCATACCCCTTACCGTTCAAGAACTCCTCCTCCGGCGCCGCCCTCTCCTTCTCCACCTCTTTTGTCTTCTCCATCGTCCCTACATACCCAGACCTGACGGGCCACGGCATCGCCTTTGTCCTTTCCGCCTCCTCCGACCTCTCTCATGCTCTCCCCAGCCAGTACATCGGCCTTTTAAACCGAACAAACCTCGGCAACCCTTCCAATCACCTCATCGCCGTCGAATTGGATACAAACTACAGCCCCGAGTTCGACGACATCAATAACAACCACGTCGGTATAGACGTCAACAGTCTCCGATCGCTTTATTCTGCGAACGCTTCCTACTTCTCTGATGGTGTTGGCACTAAAAACCTTAATCTTGGGACTGGGAATTTAACCCAGGTGTGGGTTGAATACGATCAGTTCGAATGCTTGCTCAATGTGACATTGGCACCACTTGAGCTACAAAAGCCGAGCGTTCCTCTCCTTTCTTCATTCATAAATCTTTCATCTCTCATCACAGATTACATGCACATCGGCTTCTCCTCCGCCATCGGATCCTTCCCTACATCGCATTATCTTTTTGGCTGGAGCTTTGCGCTAAATGGAAGGGCTGAAGCCATTGATCTTTCGCTACTTCCTCGGCTACCCATAACCATTTCGAAGTCGAAATTACATCTTCTGTTGAAATACGGTCTGCCGGCTATCGCTGGAGCTATCCTTTTGGTGGCCGGAATCGCTACTTGTGCATTTATTGGGATTAGAAGAAGGATTAAATTCGCAGAGCTGCTCGAGGATTGGGAGCGGGAGCATAGACCTCAGAGATTCTCCTACAAAGATTTGTACTTGGCTACCAAGGGCTTCGGAGATGAAGAGTTCCTGGGGGCCGGAGGATTCGGGAGGGTCTACAAAGGAGTCCTTCCTAGAACGAAAACTCAGGTTGCAGTAAAGAAAATCTCACACGAGACACGGCATGGAATGCGGCAGTTTGTTGCAGAGATCATCAGCATAGGCCACCTCAGGCATCGGAACTTGGTTCAACTTCTTGGCTATTGCCGGCGCAAGGGAGAGCTTCTTCTTGTCTATGATTTCATGCCCAACGGCAGCCTCGACCAACTGCTCTTCGACAAGCCTGAATCAATGCTGGATTGGAAACAGAGACTTCATATAATCAGAGGAGTGGCATCAGGGCTCTTCTATTTGCATGAGGGATGGACTCAGGTGGTGATTCATAGGGACATTAAAGCAAGTAACATTCTCTTGGACGCTGAAATGAATGGAAGGCTGGGAGATTTTGGACTATCGAGGCTTTATGACCATGGCAGCGATCCGCAGACAACTCATGTGGTTGGGACTTTGGGTTATCTTGCGCCTGAACTGACGAGGACTGGGAAGGCGACTACTAGCACTGACGTTTATGCATTCGGTGGATTTCTGCTTGAGATGGCATGCGGGAGAAGACCGGTTGAGACCAAAGCTTTACCTGAGGAGATGATATTGGTGGATTGGGTTCATGAGAACTGGAAGAAAGGAAGGATTTTGGAGACCAGGGATCCAAATTTGTGGAAATTTAGTGCGGTGGAGATGGAGCTGGTGCTGAAGCTTGGGTTGCTTTGTTCTCATCCTAAACCAACGTGCAGGCCGCTGATGACACAGGTGATGCAGGTGCTGGATGGTGACGCGGCACTTCCTGAGGAGTTACTCCATGATTGGACTGAAAGCTTCGCGGTGGGCGATGAGGGATTGGAAGATTTAATTAGTTTGGTTGATAGTACTTTCTCTAAATCAATGGCAGCATCGATGGAGTCACCAGGAAACAGAACGGAAAGATGAAAGCAGCCTTGAAAAATGCTTTATGAGCTTGCAGCGCGCGGCAGCTGTGTTGCTGCGCAATTTGGTGATGTAGGGAGAAGGGTGTACAGTTGCGTTGCTTGGAAGCTAATGGTGTAACGAGCAAAATCGATCTGCTACTCTGGTGTTTTACCCTTCTTATGGACATAGTGAAAATTTTGCATAGATATACTGTTAAATTTCGCTTCCAAAGGACTGATGGGGTTTTCCTTTCCCTTTGAAAGATGCATAATTAACAATGAGACAAAGATGGCTCAGAGATGAACAATATATTGTGGAGAAGTGAACTATAAAATCTAGAAAGATAAAGGTAGTTAGAAGAGTTTTATTTAGGTATAGAGTCAGATTCCTCATAAAATCAATCTTCTATAATTAATTATACCATAGATCCACTATATTCTAAGAATATTTTTAATTAAATTTATGGCATATAAAATATTAAAAATAGTACATCAAAATTTTGTATTCTCAAATTACCAAAATATAATCAAATATGATAAAAATTTAACATTAAATTCAAGTAAGAATGCATTTCTAAAAATATGACCCTAAAAAGCTTTGAACTTGGAAAGGGAGCAAAACATTTGTGTGCTTCATAGTCTTAGATTATCAATCCTATTAATTGTATGTTATAGCCGATCAAATTATTAAAAAATGAGGCTTTTAACTTATTGTAGTAAAGAGAAATTCTCTCTACACTAATTTACGATAACTATATTGTCACTATTTTGAGTGGGGCACTTGAGGATAGGATTGAAGAGCCTCTTAGGATATTAAATGCTTCATATTATATCTACAATTCTACGGAAGTTAATGGAACAAGAATGAAGATCTAGGATGGGCTAGATACAAAGAACTCAAAATGAGTTATATTCTCCTTAATTCCAAGTCTTTGGTGACTAATGATGGTGGATTAGGTAGGCTTGAAATGCATTGGATAGCCTCAAACTCTTAAGAACTAATAGGAATGCCTAAGTTAATATGAAAGCAATTGTCTTAGCATAATGAGCTTCGCATTTCAAAATGCAGAGCTCGAACTTCTTGGCATTTGATTACTACGAGTTAAATTTATTAAGGTCAGTTAATCTTAGGCTTCAAAGTGCTTATTTTAAGCTTGGGGGCATGAGAATGTATCCTTAGGGCTATATTAGGAAATAAAATAGCTTAAGACCCTTTGCAGTTTAACTATTCAAAATGACAAATCTCCATTGGTTTAAGCTAAACCAATTGGGAGAAGAATTTATTTGATAATATATATACGAAAAGCAACCTCAGAAATAAGTAGAAAATTGTTTCATTTATTATATCAAGCACGCAACTAATCTTACATTTTCGTTGAGAATTAAATTGTATTGATGATATTATTATTTATTCAATCTTTAGGATATTATGTAAATATTGCACATTCTATGTTTAAGATTTTTTTTTTTTAAATTCTCCTTAAACTGTCAGTTGAATATTAGAAACAATATATTCTTATTAACTTCGAATGTATTTTCATATATTTTATTATTGTAGACCTCATATGATTGTACTTTATGATGAAGTTTGTAATTAAATTGCAAATTATTAATGATAAATCAAATATGTGCATGCTTAAAATCATTTTTTAAAAAATAAATTTATTAGAATTTCAACTATTTTAACAGTTGTCATTGATCCAAAATGCTATTTTGCAACAGTTAAATCTTTTGTTATAGACCACATTCTAGATTTGTAGGTGTTAAAACCATTGCTATAGACTCATTATCCAGCTTCGTAGGTGTTAAATCATTGTAAGATAGCAGATTTGTAGCAGTTTAAACTGCTATGACAAAAAACTAGATCTAATACAGTAGTTTAAGAGTGCTGTGAAATATGTTTGCAGTGATAACAAATACAATATATGTGCAGCGGTTTTTAAACCGTTGCTAAGAACATAATATGTTTTTTAATCGTTGTTGACAGTGCTGCGAAAGCCTGTTTTAACAGTGGAGTCACTTTCTTGCCGCAGCCCTCTCTATCTCACGCTTGCATCTTGCGATGCCCTAAGCTCCGATTCAACACTTAAAGGCACGATCTTTCTTTCATGGTGGAACGAACGTCCGAGTTAGTTGAGCCGAACAGTTAGACTCTTGTTATATCAGTTTATTACTCCTTCGTAGTTCATCATATAAGCCATACGCTTACCTGAGGTTTGGCAATTGCCCACCCTCAAAATTTCAATGTAATAGTTATAATAATACTAGTTTAGGTATATATGCACCAATCGAAAACCCTAGTTTGTTAAAATAAGAAGAAAATGTTGGGTTGCCCGCAGCTTGTCACTTAAACGAAGAAAATCGTAGCCATAGCCCGCATCTCTGGTTCATTTGTTCTGTCATTCCCACCTATGCTTGCGATCTTCTCTAGCTCAAACACACAATGACAAAAAATAACATCTTGTGATCTCGCGAAAAGCAATAAGCTCAAAAAGTTGAGGTTTTTTCACAACTTACGCGGATTGCCTATTTCCTAGAGCAAGTAAAAACCCCAAGCCCTTATTCTCAAAAAATAAAAGTTTGTTGAAGCCTAACTATAATCCGGTCTTAATTATATATAGAGATTGTATAATGGTAAAAGAGTTTGGCCAATTAAGTGCTATTTTATAATTTTATTATACTTTCTTTGGGCTGCTTATTTGATTTTATGTTCTGGTATATTTCAATATGAGGTTCTATTAAATTCATCATTATTACTTGATAACATGTTATAATCCACTGTTGTTGAATACGTGAATGTTTTGGGCTGGCGGGCAAAAAATGCCTTGTTCTTATACTTATTTGAATATAAACAAAGTATCAAATATATTGGGCTGCGTGAATTGAAATGTCTTGCTATGGGTTTTTAGGGCTCCAACGATGGTTTGGACTTCAACTCGCGATCCATAAGGTTTTGCTTTTGTTGCGCGTGTTATCTTACATTTAGGAAAATAATATATTTATTTGATTTCCAATGATGTTGCTAATGCAATATTATAAAAAGGCAATCCGGCAGATATTCTTGTGAATTATTTTCAATATCATCATATGAACTACAATTTTATTTTGATTGTGTATTATTTATTTTTATTTTTTTAAATATTAGTTAATTTTATATAAAATTATACACCCTTAATAACTGGCTACTCGTCATGCATACGTGCAAGACATAATACATAGATTTTTTATCCTTGCACTTCATGTAGGGAAAAATTACTTCCGTCAGGCTACCTTGATGTAAGAGCTAGCATCAGTAGCCATATAATATGTCGTCACGTGCACTATCTTTACCACGCGGCCCGCGACCGCCGGGAGTTCGATAGCTCGGTATTAGCTATCGTATTGGTCGATTTTGCTCGACAAAAAATGAAAAATACTATATGTGAGACCAATACCGAGAAAATAACCGAGCTTAAATACCGAGCAATACCTGAGTTCAGTACCGATGCAATACCGAGTTGGCTTTAGGTATTGCTCGTATGCGTTCTTCACATAGCGGTATTATTGTCAAGCGTCCAGAGCAATACCTAGCAATTTACTCGAGCAACTACTGCGAACTTAATGTGAATTCCTTCGGATTGCATCGGAGTCGGGTCGTCGGGCCCGCGCTTGCGGTAAAGAGGTAAGTGTACATAGGCGATATATGTATAAGCTCCTGATGTTAGCTCTACTACGTCAGGTAAATTAACGAGATAATTTTTCCAGTGGGCTAAAGGCATGTAATAGTCACTTTTTTTTTTAATGAACTTTTTTCCTCGTTTAAAAATGAAAACGCAGCTCTCTTCAATTTTTCCAATTGCCCTTTCTGTTACTGTATTTGTCCTGACTAATGCGTTATTTCTATGATAATTTTTATATCTGGGATAACAAGAAAATGCTTCTTTCAAGGACTTCTTATAAAGAACTTTTTTTCCCTCTGTTGATGATGGTGATTGGGCAAATCTTGGCATGGCAAAAAAGCACTCTCGTAGACATGCAGTTTATTTTCCTTTGGATGGCACCTTTCAATAGCCTCAATAACCTTCGGTTGCCTTATTTCTGCGAAGAAACATTTTGATGTTGGGTTAATACCTGCCTCCTTTGTCATACTCACTCTTTGACAACGGCAACATTTAATTGGTTTGATGTGATTAATTCATTCCAAGTACCTCTGTTTAGGCTTCCTCAGAATTTTCCTGTTTCTCTTTAGACCCAACCTAGTTCAGCTATTTCAGTTTATTTTGGGTGGATTTTACTTCGGGAGTGTTGAAGGGCTTGGAACTGTTGCTGAGTAAAGACATTGCTGTTACTTCCTGTGGCTGAGCGGAACTCTAGGAAACATAACGGGAGGTTGGCTTGTGCTGTAGACATGCCTAAGAGAATTCTTAGAACAGTTTACCTGAAACTGGATAGTTTGAGAAATGGGAAACTGTAAAAGAAACAGCTTTGGTCTTCGTTATCATTAAGTGCATTTTCATGGGGCATATTTTGTACAATTCGTTCTTTGGAAAGGTTGATTGTTGGCTCCTTATCTTTGGTTTACTGGGGCTGCTCGGTTAGCATTTAGATTATCTTTCTGGAGGATATTTGGTGGTTTATTATGGCATGAACTCGTTCATTGCTGCAACCACCTGAGATATTGCTGATGACCTGGGAACTATATTGAACTACTCTCCTTTATATTGGAGTGGTTGTGTGACGGATTTTAATCTGGCATGCTATATTTCTTTATTTGATTTGTTGGTGGCATTTGCTCTATTGCTGCCCAGATTATTGTTGTCGCAGCGTTCGTCGGATTCGAGCACATTTGGGCAGTCTTTTTTGGATCGGTGGTACAATGATGGAATCCTGCCACTTTCCTTCTAGGCAGGTCTACGGGGCAACCAAAGCGAGACCGATCTCCTCATGATTGGTAAAATTGCACATTCTGAGTCCAGGCTAGACAGGTTTCTGACTGTTTCATTTTTGTTTCTTTGTTTTTTGGGGTTTAGGTTGATTATTATTGTTTGTTTTTGGCTGGTTTGCTTTCTTTTGGTCTTGGCAACCTTTTTTTTTAGGTGTTTTTTCATGTAATCTCTGATTTCTTTTTTTTATAGATGGGCCAAAGCCTGCATTTCACCCAAAAAAAAAAAAAAATAATAAATTTATATTTCTGAATATGTCATACAGCGCGTGAGACGCATGCGATATTTTTTTGAGAAGGCCTGTTGAACTAATTTGTTATAAATTCCTACTCCATTGAAAGGGCAATATTAGCCTTTCAATCGGGATTTTTCAATAAAAACAAGATAATAGCTACTTGTTTAACTTTGTTTTTGTCGCTTCAACGCGGGACTAAGTATTGTCGTGTACTTGAGGATGACAGAAACTAAAACCGATAGTGACGCTTCATCCCAACTGGAGAACATACTCGATTGAGGGCACGTGGCGGTCAAATTATTTTATTGTCGAGGTGTTAGTACGCAGAGGGTATAATAAAAATGCATTCACGAATGCATTTTCCTTAGATTAAGTGTTAGCCAAGCTCGACACAGGAGAGTAATTGGAAGCAATACGATTGCATCGGACACTCGGTGCACAAGCCTAGTACGATGCGTCGGTACTTATCGGTATCATGCTCCGGTACAAATTGTGGTCCAACGCGGTTCTCCGCGTTCAGTGTCCGCCAGAAATCTCTCCACGTAGGCAGGCGAAGTATCGGATTTGCCAATTGTTTTTTTTTTTTTATCTTTAATGAAGCTAATATTAGCTATTTTATTAAGCACGTTAATACAAGCAAGCAGTTTGAAGTATCACGTTAGAAGATATTAAAATTTCTATGTAATTTAGGGGGGATAAAGTATTTTTATTTGTTTAAATTTTAACAAATAGGAGGAAAATTTTTATTTTAACAAATCAGATAAGTGATTTGGGACAGCTTTTTTAATATTTTTTTAAATAATTTTTTTAGTAATAAAATTTTTGTACTAAAATATTATTTTAGAAAACAGTAAGAAAATTGTTACAAATAAAGTATAAAATCTATTCTATTTTCTAAAATATTTTCTTTTTGAATTTCACAACATAAAATAACAAAAAATTAAAAATCTCTTATAATAGCAACAAAAAATACATATAATTATATTCTTTTATAAATATAATTTGCAGCGAGAAAATCAAGCATTTCGTCACGTGGCAAGCAAGTAGCTAGTTGGCAAATGACTTTGTCAAATGGAAAAATTATTCTGTGCGGACACCGGAGTCTAGAGCCCAATGAAAATGTGTCATGTCACCTGGTACCAAGCGGTACCGAGTTGCGGTACCGAGCAGTACTGAGCCTCGATACTCGATATATACCGATCACGTCGCACATTTTTATTGGGCTATGGGCGACGTTCGGCGTAAGCTCAGAATAATTACTCTGCCAAATGACACACAACTCTCCAGCCACATGATCGATGACTCGATATGATTTGCTAAAATAAAAATTTTCATCTTTGTTTTTAAACTTTAAACTTCAAAAAATGCTATTTTTTAAATTTGGCCAATTTAGGATGGTACTTAAACAAAATTATTAATCTGCAAGGCGTCGGTCAACGATGAGATGGATTGAAATATATAAGATTAAAATTTAGGTTAATTTTGTCAAATATTTGTCAGCTTTGATGTTAAAATAATAGGCCATCATAATACCCTCACTAAAAAAAGGTATATTTATCCCTTAATAAATAACAATTGCTTTCACCTAAACAAGCGGCACCAAATTCTAAGTTCAATTGAGATCGAACCATTTCATACCATCAAAAAATCAATCCAAAGAATCTACATAATACGGACTTCAATCGATAAATAGTAAGCAAATGACGGGGATTAAAAAGCTTATCAATTATTAAAATAAGTGTAATATAACTACCTATGTTTTCCCTCAATCAAGCTTGACAAATATTATTATTGTAAGGTTCAATCTATCTTATTGAAGAAAGAAAGAAGTTGAGCGTTCTTGAACAGCTCCTTGATATGAGCAAGCGACGCAAGATGAGAAAGACATGAAGAAGGGAAAGTTCAATTCATTATTCACCGTGATGGACAGTGCTATAAAAAGACTACATGTCATGGCTATTACATGTGTAATCTCAATATTGGATTACAAGAATGATGCGTATAAGTACAAGTGTATAACTTGAATTGGATATGACTTTATTTATATTCTAATATTTCCCCGCAAACTGATGTATCCGAAGTGACCGTCAAGTTGAACTGAAGTTGATAAAATCTTGGTGTGGACAATGGCTTAGTAAATATTTTTGCAAGATGGTCAATCGTGCTGATGGGAGAAGACGAATGGTATTCTGTTGGATGAGATCACGAACAAAACGATGATCAATCTCGATGTGTTTTGTCCTGGCATGAAAGACCATATTGTTAACGAGAGCAATAACTGATATGTCATCACAATATAAATCAGTTGGTTGATCCAAATTTATGTCAAAGTCAATTAAGATGAGGCGAAGCCATATGATGTCTACTATAGCAGCTATAAGAGCCCTGTATCCTGATTCTGTTAAGGAACGTGCCACTGTATGTTGCTTCTTAACTATCCATGAGATGAGAGTTTTGCCTAGAAAAGAATAGTATCATGATGTAGATTTCCTTCATGCCGAATCACCTGTCCAATTAGCATTCGAGACAGAGTGGAGACTAAGATCATTCTTGACTATAGGAATGTCGAAGTGTTGAGTTCCGCTGATGTAGCAAAGAAGACGTTTGAGAAGGAATATATGCTGAGAGAGAGTACTCATAGTGTTGTTGATATATGAAGTATTGATCCTTTGAAGATCTGATTGTGATGCCAAGAAACGAGTGAGCTAGACCCAGGTGCTTCATGGAGAATTTGTTATTTAGTTGTTGTAACAATTGATTTATGGATGAAGGTCATCACCCGTAATTAGTATATCATCTACATATATTAGAAGGAATATTTTTGTGGTGGTTTGATTTAGAAACAAGAGAGATGGATCAGATTTACTGTGAGAAAAGCCAAGCGATAATAGGTGCATAGTAGTTTGGCGATAGAACCATCAGCGTGGAGCCTAGTTCTATACGCCCATTTGCAACAAAGAATAGAAGCATTTGGGGGAGGGGGGTACAAGATTCCAAGTGCCTTATTTTTTAAGGGCAAAGAACTCATGTGTCATAGCTTTGCACCATTAAGGATGTGGACTCTCATCAGTATATGTGGTAGGAGCATATTGTGGTGTGATGCTAGTTTGGTGATGAATAAGATTGAGACGTTGACAAGGTTTTAAAATCATGTTTGGCTTCTTGTCACCATCGGATGTTGAGAGAGAGAGAGAGAGAGAGAGAGAGAAAGAGAGAAAGAGAGAGAGAGAGAGAGAGAGAGAGAGAGAGAGAGAGAGAGCAGTGGGATGAGAAGATGTAGAGCGGTCATTGTTAGTATTGGTAGAGGCTGAGGTAGTGTTAGAAATAGAATCGTTGGGGGCAGATACATGAACTTTGTGGGTGACCAAAATTGAAGGAATAGAGTTAATGGATGTGGGTGTGACAAGTGATGGAGTTGTAGTGTGAGAAGCTGAGGGGGAGAGATGCAATGTTTTTGAAATGAGAAGGATTGTTTATTGAATGTGATGTTGCACGAGAAGTGGATCATGTTAGTGACTGGATCAAAACATTTGTAGCCCTTGTAGGTATCAGAGTAAACTAGGAAGACACAGGATTGCTCTTTAGGCTAAAACTTGTAATGATTTTTAGGAGGAGACAGCGGAAAACATTCATAGCCAAAAGTTCGAATATGAGAATAAGATGGTTGAGTAGCATATAATAATTGAAACAGAGACATGTTGTGAGTTGTCTTTAATGACATTCTATTAATGAGGTAAACCACTATAAGAACATCTTATGGCCAATGAATGTAGGGAACATATGCAGTTTGAAGAAGTGTTCAAGCAGTATCAAGAAATGTGACGATGCTTACGTTCGGCTAATCCATTATGTTCAGATATGTAATGATAAGATGTTTGATAATGAATGTCATGTTGCTAAAGAAAATTGTGAAGAGTGTGATTAAGATATTTTGCTCCACTGTAAGTTCTTAGGCATTTTATTTGATGAGAAAACTATTTTTTAACTTAAGTTTTGAAGTTGATGAATATATTAGTGACTTCAGCTTTGTTCGTCATAGGAAATAGCCAGGTGAAATGGGAAAAATCATCGACAAATATGACGTAATAATTGTGACCTTGTACATAATTGATGGCTGATGGTCCCCAAACATCAAAATGAATTAACGCAAGAGGTTTATTTTGTTTAATTGAATATTTTTTGAATACATGTTTATGAGCTTTATATGCTTTACAAGAAGAGCAAACAAAAGAAAATGAGGAAAGTGGAGAAATGGGTTATGCTTGGACATGATTTCAAGAACAGTCCGGTGAGGACGATGCCCCAAGCGATTGTGCCAAATTATGGAATTTAAGTGAATGGCAGTCAAGATAGAAGTAGGAGAGCTGTTAACCAAAGCTTGAATATGATATAGACCTTCACTACACTGGCCACTTAAAAGCGTTTGATGAGTCTTCAAGTCCTTAAAGATAAAACCAAAGGGGTTAAAGATGATATATATATTATTATCTTTTTTTAATCTTAAAATTGAAAGAATATTATATTTAATGCTAGGAATGTGTAAAATCTAGGAAAGATATAGCTTATGAGGTAGTGTAGGAAGGATACCCTCACTCGTGTGCGTATTGGGAACTAACTGACCATCACCGATAGGGATAGTGTCGGTTCCTTGATAGGGGTTGCATACAGATAACCTGTCAAGAGAGTTAGTTATGTGAGATGAGGCACCTGAATTTAGGTACGAGTCATTGGTATTTTTTTCAACGGTAGCGGCAAGAGCTTTGTTAGGATTTTTGTGCTGTTGAAAAACGTATTAAAGGTTTGTCCAATGCCAACAATTAGTCGTCGAATGACCTTTCTTGTTGCATATTTGACAGATCATAACTGATGCAGTTGACAATCTTGTAGCAGTAGCGGTGGTAGGAGGGTAGCGACCTCTAGTTCTTCGACTGTGTCCTCTGAAAGAGTAAAGAGCCATGGTCGGGTTGAGCCCTGATGGATTGCGAGAGGCATCCATGGCTAGGTTAATTTCTTCACTTATAAGTAAAAAATATAGATTATCAAGGCTTATAGGAGTGTGCATTGTGTGAATAGAAGTTTTGCATGATTAATAGGAAGGAGGTAGATCATTCAAGATGTAAAGAATTATGTCTTCCATGCCTACAATTGATCATGCTGTCGCAATTTGATCGACCTAGGTTTTGATTTCAGTGAAGTATTGTGTCATTGTGGAATTTTTCATGGAGATATTATGAAGCTCATTCTTGAGCTGAATTATATGAGATTCGTGGATTGGAATTTGATTTCCAAAGAATTTTAGATAGTAGCCATGGACTCAAGATTCAAGATATAAGGAAGTACGGAAGCGAAAATTGTAGAGCAGATGGAAGTGGCAAGATTTTGATCGAGAAGAAGTCATTGGTGGTATGTGAAATTGGGGATAGTAGAGCCATCCGACTGTTGTAACAGTAGATGCGGAGGATCGAAGGTGGGTTCAAGAAATTTTGCAAACCCGTTGGCACGAAGGAGTTTAGTGATCTGTGATTTCCAGAGAGAATAATTATCAGTAGAGAGTTGTGTGGGAACAAGATTTTTCAGGTTGGAGAAGAAATTTTAACTAAGATGGAATGCTGGTGGCGTCAAGGGCTTCGTGATCCATCTGTTCTTCAATCTGCGATGCTTCTGATGTGGCCATCAGCGATACACGGATCAATCCCACTCTGATACCAAGAAGAAAGAAGCTGAGCGTTCTTGAACAACTCCTTCATATGAGCAAGTGACGCGAGATGAGAAAGACAGGAAGAAGGGAAAGTTCAATTCATTATTCACCGTGATGTACAGTGCTATAAATAGATTACACGGCATGGCTATTACATGTGTAATCCCAGTATTGGATTACAAGAATGATGTGTATAAGTACACATGTATAACCTGAATTGGATATGCCTTTATTTATATTCTAATACTTATGAACTAAATCATGATCTTCACATTCTTTTTTTCAATGCCCAAAGCCATACTAAAATAATTACGATTATCAAAGAATGAAACCTACAAAATGTAAATATAACACATAACCATTATAAAAATAAAAACCTAAATTTAATACTTACATTTTTAATGACAAAAGTTGAATTTTTAGTTAAAATAATCAAGAAAGAATGCATGAAGAAGAATGAGTTATGGTGAACTCTCCAATGTTCGACCACAATGAACCAAACGAGTTCCTATAAAGAGGAATGTGCTTGCTTCAATAGTGTTGAGATTAAAAGAGCATTAAAGGAAAAAAAAAAAAGAAGAAAATGATAAATAGTGGAAAAGCTTATGATTATCTTACTATTGAAAGAAGAAGAAGAGCAAGAAAAGTGGGGAAGGACTCTCTACTATTTGATTGAAGGAGAATGGATGACTTGTCGAAGAGAGTTGATCCATACAAGCTCTTGAACAAACTTTGTTACTCTTTGTATTGAGCCCCATGGGGCTTTATATGTTCCCTATTTTTGTCCAATAAAACATTCCTAATCCAACATGCTAAAAAGAACTCATATCATGTAATCTACTGACAAAGTAATAGCATTTCCCCTTTTCCATTTTGAACGACAAGTTAAAGAAAAAGACGTTTGCAACAAACTTAAAAAATTTTGCAAAAGCCATTGACAGAGGAGATATCTATCCTCTTTAGCTTTCAGAAATATTCATTCAGATTCATAAACCCGAGCATTGCTTAGGAAGCCAACCCATCAGCAAGCAAAGAATATATCCTAATGGCAAATTTACAAGGAGGAAAAAGATAAAGATCTGTCTAAATCCATTACCCAGCAAGTAGAAATTAACCTAAATATTTGCCGCTAAAAGCAGTTATTGAGACGGTTACAGAATACTTCATGGTAACGGAATTGTAGGGCTCCACTACTCCACTTCATGCCCGGAGCTCCAATATAAGACCATCATAAATCCTTAACACTCTCCACGTAGCAGAGAGAAACAAAGGTATGGAGGCGGTTTCCAAGCTCCAAGTCCTCTTCTTCTGCCTCTTCTTCTCCATTGCACTGACTCGTAAGTTCAAAAAAAAAGTACTGAATATTAAATCTTTCATATTTTTAACAGGTTTACTGAAATTATGTACTTCTTTGTCTTCTCTCCTGCAGATGAGATCCAACTCATATTTGTAAACAACTGCAACAGCAGCATCTGGCCTGGCACACAAGGCAGTGCAGGCAATATCTCTCCGCAGAATGGAGGCTTTCATCTCGGCGTAGGCGAAGAGGTGACCTTCAACGTGCCCAATGGCTGGTCTGGAAGGATATGGGGTCGCCAAGGCTGCTGTTTTGATGAACAAGGGAAGGGATTTTGCCAAACTGGTGACTGCAATGGCAATCTGTATTGCAAAGGCAGTGGTGGAGCGCCGCCAGCCACGTTGGTGGAAATGACATTTGGAACTCCTCAATCTCCTCTCCATTACTACGATGTCAGCTTGGTGGATGGTTTCAATCTTCCGGTGACGATGGCTCCGGTGGGAGGCGGGGTAGGATGCGGCATTGCCGGCTGCGAGGTGAACCTGAATGTATGTTGCCCTTCCAAGTTTGAAGTCAGGGTGGGAGGGAAGATTGTTGGCTGCAAGAGTGCATGCTTGGCTCTTCAGACAGATAAGTATTGCTGTACTGGGGAGTTTGGGACGCCAAGTTCTTGCAAGCCAACTCTTTTCTCGCATCTATTCAAGGCCATATGTCCACGGGCTTACAGCTTTGCATATGATGATCCAACAAGTTTGAATAGATGCAGGGCCTCTCGTTATGTAATTACCTTCTGTCCTCCCAGAAAATGAAAATGGGATGCTTAGTCTAGTTTGGTTTATGGTTTGATGCTCAGTAGAATTCAGTTTATGAAAATGTTATTTCTTCTATATTTAGAACAATGCAATTTCTATGTACAGATTTAGAGGCACAGTTACCAGGCGCTTTTGTGGCAGCTGCTGAAAAAGTGATTTTCTTGTATGTTACATTTCAGCTTTAAGTGAACTAGACAAATTAAGATTGATTGAGACTTATCATTTGGCATAAAACTATGGGCTTCGATCTGAATGCAACTATTCTCAAATACTCAATAGATTAATGAGTTTACCCTTCAAATTAGTTTGTTTAGCATATTTATTTATTCATTTTACTAGAATTATAATTGGAGAGCTTCATGACTTCAACATCAGAATAAAATATAAGAACAACTCACCAGAGTTGGATTGTTACACAAAGAGTTGTCATCGAAAATGTTGATGGGTAAAAGGAAATGACTTCAGGAGGATGTAAGAATTGAACTTGGTTGATATAAGTACTTCTTCTTTGTTTTTCTTTTATAGTAATTTTGAAACAGAACAATCATCCTCAAGTGCAAAATTCTGGAAGTTACAATATGGTAACATGAAAAATCATTATGTTGTTAAAAAGTAGGGTTGTCAATATTTGACACGACCTGAAAACACGACTCGAATCCTACCCAATTTTGAGTTAGGGTCAACCAGAACCCGATATAGGTCTGGTTTGGGTTCAACAATTCGAACCGTTTCAAAAATCGGGTCGGATTCGGGTTGACCTTTGATCCGAAATTGACTCATTTTACTCGAAAACCCATTTTTGACCCGGGAGCATTGACCCGTTTTGGACCTTTTTTGACCCGAAAAGCGGAAATTAACCCATTTTTTGGACCCAAAAATAACAATTTTTTTGTTGGCACTGGGTCATTCGAGTCGTGCCAAGATGACCCGGACCCGTAGGGGGTCGAGTTCGGGTCTGGAAAACTAACCCGTTTTCAAAAATGGGTCCGGTTCGGGTTGACCCGAATAGTGCCAAGTCAATTTCGGATTCGACCCAAACCCAACCTGTGACCTGAAATTGACACCCCTATTAAAAAGTAATATTTCCTCCATAAGATGCCCAAAAAAAGGCGTTAGTAGTTGGATGAGGCTCTCATTAATGTTAACAGAAATTATCCTAGCAGTACAGTGAAATTCTTTTCATAAGAAAAATATATATGATCTAAACAATTTAAGAGAAGCAAGAACATTGATCAAATCCAAAAGAGAAGTCTGTTACAACTTGAGCAAACATGCAGCTCAGTCAAGGAATAGCTTCACATGTAAAATCTAGAAACCATGACACAAATTTAGTTGTAGTTAGGGGTGTCAATTTGGCTCGGAATCGAGTCCAATCCGAGTTAACCAGAGCGTGAACCGGTCGACTCAAACCCGACCCGTTTAGCTAAACGGGTCAGGATTTCCGAGATAGATTTAATTCTCTTGATGATATAGGAATATTAAAAATTGCTAATTTTTGACTTGATGAGTCTGAATTGGAAGCTATGGTATTTATTGAAGATGATATTAAAGTTTAAAGACAAACCACTGAAGAAGCTAATCTTATCATTCTTTTTATTAAAAGGTTGAAACTTCATGTGCTAGACAATTTATGTTTATGTTTTTGCTATTGTACTAAACTTTTAATGCTTACTTTATTTTGATATTATAAGCTACAAGGCTACAAATGATGTTACTTTCACTTCTTCTTTTTTTTTTTTTTTTTGTCACTTCAAATATTATGTTTTGATTGCTTTCTTAATGTTTATGTATGATTTTTAAATTATAATGCCGTGTTTGTGCACCCGTATCCTGTATTTTTAAGAATTGACGTGTCCCGTATTTGTATTGTGTCGTATCCATGTCGCCGTATCCATATCGGTGCAACATAGGTAATGTATGGCCCTAAAAGAAGTTATGTATTATGAAGGTATGTGGCTTCGTACTCTTTAGTTTCTGCTCCACCCTTTAGACCTCAGCCATATGAGCACTGAAGAATGCAAAATCCACAAACTACAATTCCACTTTGCTATGTTCTGCTTGTCACTGTATTTGATGACATTTGGCATTGCAACCCAATTTGATAATTTTGAACCAGAAGAGCGTGCCCAAAAGCTCTCTTTGTTTAAACAGTTTACCTTCGTCAAAATTGGAAACCTCTTCGCTGATGTAGTTTTTACCTATATTCAAGACAAGGTTAGCTGGTCAGTGGTCACAAGGATATGCCATATTGCCAGGACAATGTAATGCTTATAATTTCAGTATTTTTCTTCGTGGTCACAGGTTGCCTTCTGGAAGTCTATGAATTAGAATTAGCCACAACTTCTCTCACAAAATGGTATCGAGTTCTATATGTTTCGATCTATCATGAAACACAGGATTCTTTTTCATAGATATTATGAACTAATTATCACAAAATATTTATATCGTCTATAAATGAGGTTGCTGGAAATCTTCTAATATTCTCCACATCCATATTGCTTGGCATGCTGCTGATAAGTGCAATATATTTAGCTTCTAAAAATGACAATGTTGTACTAGCTTGCTTCTTTGAGCTCCAGGGTATTGCTCCAGATTCAAGATTGAATATAAATTCACTTGTGCTTTTCCTATCTTCTTTGGAACCTGCTCAATCACTCTAAAAAAAACCACTTAGATTAAAGTTAGAAATTGATTTGTATCTAATCACATAATTATTTGTCTCCCGAATATAGTAAAGAATGTATTTGACCACTCCAATATGGCATACATAAGTTTATGCATAAACATTAAATTAAGATGTACTTAGTACATAATATCAGACCTAGCATGTGTTAGAAACATAAAACAACCGACATATACTCTAAATATTGTCTTATTGGCCTTAGTTGTCTCATCATTTTGAACTATCTTTTAATTTGTATTCATGGGTGCTAAAAAAGTTTTGCAAGTTAGCATATTATACTTCTTTTGTAACTCCAATGCATACATTTTATAAGATATAAAAATATCATCATCTGTGTCAATAATTTTTGAACCCATAAAATAATGTAATAACCTGAAATCAGTCATATCAAATTTTTTCATCATATCAACCTTGAACTTTTCAATCAACACTTTGGATGTTCTAAAGTAGATAATATCATCAACATAAACACAAACAATAAATAAATCATCATTTTTAGCTAATAAATATAAGGTGGGTTCACTTTCACTTCTATTAAATCTCTTCTTTCCAAAATATGAATCAAGCCTCCAATAGCATACTCTTAGTGTCTATTTAAGCTCATAGAGTGTCTTCTTTAGTTTATAAACTTTCTCCTCTTTATTTTTAATAACAAAATCTTATTTTTCATGTATGTACATACTTCTTCTGAATCACCATTCAAAAATACATATTTAACATCAAGCTGAAAAATTTTCCACTTCATTTGTGCAGCTAATCCAAAATAATTTAAAGTTTCAAATCTAACAATTTCAAATCTAAGAATAGGAGAAGAAGTTTCACAGAAATTAGTATCATATTTTTTATACATAACTTTTGACAACAAGCCTTGTTTTGTGTCCTTTTATGCTTCCATTTGAATTATACTTCATCTTATAAATCTATTTCACGCAAATTGGAACTTTTTCTTGTGTCATATGAGCAAACTCTCAAATATCATTCTTTTTAATATCTCGAATCTCTTCTTTTATGGCATTTTCTCATTTTTCTTTCTTACAAGCATCTTTATAACAAAATTGTTTTGTAATTTGTAACTATAATAGCAAATATACAGTTATATTACCCAATAGAGTAGAGAACCCACATGCATGCTTATATGTGAAATGTGTGTGGATATATTGTGTTTCTTATAAAATTGATATTATGTGTTTCCCTATTTAAACATATTGAGGGTGGTTTTATATATATGCAAGCCATAAGCTGAATCCAAAATTTTGCTCGTTGGATGAGCGTTCATATAATCATACATCATATGTATAATTATGTTAATTTGAGCTATATAATAAGTTGAGCTATGATATGATTTAATATGTGCACTCTTTGGACTCATCTATAATTTAATTTACAAATGAGTTTTATTAGTTTGATTGTGAAAATTAAGTAATATTTCTTTTGCATATATCTTCAGACTTAATTAAAAACTTATTATCTTTACTTATTATGTATCATTTCATCAATTTTTTTTTAAAGTTTTTTATTCCTTGCCTTAGGTATTTCACAACACCTTTTTTTCTCTCTTTTTTTATTTATAATTTTAGCAATATTTATTGTTGCGGGCTAGAAAATTTGAGTCGATAGAGATTGAATTTTCATGTCTTAAAAGTGCACAAAAATTCAGCACAAACAAATAAAAATGATAAGATAAGAGAATTTTTTACGTGAAAAGCCTGGAATGAGAAAAACTATAGGGTCTGACCTAGTTGCAGAATTCACTATGTAACAAGTGATATAAGAATACTTCTTTCTTCACTATTGAGAAAGAGGACAATAGAAATATAAAAAATAATTGGATACAATCTTGACAATATTCTAAAAATGTTGATGATTTTTTATGTCGATCGTTGGTGATAATGATGATTGCTGGTGGTACGTAGTGACTGGTGGTCATCGACAGCGATAGTGGCTAGAAAATGTATGAGAAATCTCTGAATCTTCCTTTGTTCTCCTTTCTTCTCCTCTTTTCAGTGAAGAATAATGATCTATTTATAATTTTTTTGGAGTTGCATGGCTAGTAAATATAGATAATATCAAGAGCATATTGGGATTGTTTCAATGAACAACCGATATTAACTCACTCGATCATGTATTGTTTATTGAGCATTTGAGTGTCTTAATGATATTAGAATTTGGCGACCTTTGGCTCGTTAGATTTGTCTCGTTGAGCCCCTCGATTTGGCTCTAAGCATGTTACATTTGGATATAGTGGTCATTCAATTAATGTTCTAAAACTTTCAAATATACTTTGGTCATTTGATTTGGACCCACTTAAGCTCAG